TTTTTTCATCTTGATTTAATAATGGTTCTATAATATCCAATATATTACTTTCACTTGGTTTGGGCATCAGTTTTTCATACTCTTGCATTTGAGAGAGAAAAAGTTCTCGATATTTAATCACATCTTCTCTCTCATGCCCATCATAATAGATATCTTTGTGATGTTTTTGATGATACCAACCAAGCTTTTTCAACCAAACTTGGGCAGTTTTTACACTGATTGTTTTTTTTTCTTCAATTCCAATTTCTGGAAAAACCTCATTTTCAATATATTCTTTAAATTTTTTAACTGAAACATCACTTTTTTGTTCCAATAGATAGTCTTTTAATTTTTTATTTATGTCCTCATGCCAAAGAAGTGACTTAATTTTTGGATGTTTTCCTTGAGAAGAAACAAAAATTAAACTGGTTTTAAGAAATTTCTTTGACCAATTGCGAATTAGACGAGCACGATATTCTCCACCTCCTAAACTATTAGAAAGCAATAAACTTGCTTCTATGGTTTTTTTCCCTGCTAATCGAAGATTAAGATATTGACTAATAATAGAAGCTCGTTTTTTAATGTCATTTGGCAATTTTTTGTCTTTAACAATTAGATTCAAATTAATTAATGCTTCTTCATATATATTTTTGTCATTCTCATTAATATTATCATTTATATCATTACTTGCAATGTTATTATTTTCCAATGAATCAAGATTTTGTTTTTCAAAAAAACTTGTTAATTTCATAGAATTTGCAGCATCCTTTTGATTTTGTGCCTTTTTGCGATAAGTGGTTCTTTCAGAATTTCCTATATATACCAATGGACGATTAGAAGTAGAAAAATCTTTTTTATGAGCATTTTGCATCATAACTTCAAAAATTGATGCATCTAAATTTTCAATCACATTATCCAATGCCTCACTATGCCAATTGTCATCATCAGCATCACTATCAGAAAGTTCATACTCATTAGTATTTTCAATCTCAACATAATCGGATTCACAAATAGTCTTATCATCATCATCAGTTTCTGGTACAAAATCATGTGAGAGAGTATTTTGAATAAATAAATTGTTCTTTGATTTTTTTGCAAGTCTAGCTTCTTTAAGTTGAGAATTTCTTTTTTTTGGTGGCATAATTAATTTAATTAAGACAAATAATTTTTATAAATATTTTTGACGCGGTGATTTTTTTACATCTATACAAGACCAAATTTAGAAATGATAATCGTAGATCATCCTAAATTTAGACAATCGTGTTACTGCCAAATCATCTTGAACATAGTAAAATACATGTACTAAAAAGGAATAGAACACGATAACCAATCAATATTTTGAAAAAATCTCTCTGTTACGATAAAGTTTGAGTCTCAATCTATGCAATAACAGAGTTATTTTTAAAAAAGGATCAACAGAAACGGACTTCTATTCTTTCAAAAATCACGTGCAAAAATGGTGGTTATAGGCTTCGCGCACCATAGTATATTAGAATTTATGTAATTGTGAATTGAAATTGAAATCAACCAATCAAATTCACATAGATTATTTTCACAATTAATAATGATTACCATTGCTAAAGATTTTTAAGAAAATGAGTCCAAACACTGGTCCTCCTATAAAAGATGGGATTTTAATTGGAAACAACTTTATTTCAAGGTCTGCTTTAGAAAAAGATATTCGAATGATCTTGCTTGCATATCAAAGAGTAATTTTTATTATCATCATTGTGGTGTTATTATTATTGTTGTATTTAATTAGAAGAAATATTTATATATATCTTCTTTACAAAAAGAAACAACATCACGATTTCACAACTTTTAAGAATCTATGGAACGAATATAAATTTACATATATACATTTTGCTTGCCCTGAAAAATCAGGTCGTCCTTTTTTTATGCAAGTTTTATATCAAATTACTTTAAGTATGTATAATTTTATTTGATTAATTAAATTGATTAGATTGATTTTTATTGATTTTATTGCTTCTTATGTCAATTAGGGTTTTTGTTACAGACAAGTTTGCTTGAAGTGAAATTAGCTGTACTTTACACCTTATATTTACTTTATTTTACTCAACCTGATAATTTTGAAAAAATAAGAATCCGTCTTAGTTTACGTATGTGAGGGTATTTTTTTATTACTTTACATTTATATTTATATTTTTTTTAACCAGAATGGTTTTTAATTTAAAAAAAAAATTGTATAAATGTGTGTGTGTGTATATATATATATATATATATTATAGATATGTGGAGATCAATATTTGAACTTTATAAATATTGTGTAAAACATGAATTATATGATGCTGAATATATATATGAAAGAATGAAAAAAGAGCAATTATTTGAATATGTTGCTGTTGTTGATCCATGTAATGATTATGGAAAAATTGTAAAGGAAAAAAGAAAAGAGTTAGTATTTTGTAGATGTAGATGATTACAAAACTTTATTTATTTATTGTTGTGTTGAAACTCAAGTATTTTTTTTTTTTGATTTGGGGAAAAAAGTAATAGCATACATGATACTTTGGATGATATCAGAACAGAATTTAATACTGAAATAATGGTAATCATTGTTATTATTGTTATTATTATTATTATAATATAATTCATTAATATATATTTATTTATTTGCCTATCTATTTATTTATAAAAGGAGGAATTAGATGGTAATAATAATGATAATATTTTAAATCAACTTAATCAAATATCAAATGAATACTATACGAAAAAACATAAATTACAAGATACAAATGAAGCAATTGATTCCTCGAAAAAAGTTGTTAGATACATGACAACAACGATGCTTCAACATTCATCATCACCTGCCAATGATGTATGGACGCTTGTTTCACCATTTAGTTCATCAAATGAACATTTTGTAAAAAATATTAAAAGCAATATTGATCAATTTGAAAAAGACAGAAGAAAGTTTCTTGATTTAAACACTAAAAATTTTGATATCATAAGTAATAATGAATTGGCAGATGATGAAAATGAAAAAGATGGTTAGCGTAAGAATAAAATTGTTATAGCCTTTTTAAAAAACTTTTTTTGATGCTTAGCACAATTATATAATGACCCTCATTCAATAATGCTTTTCCAATCCATCCTGAACACATCAAAAGATAGGTTTAATTAATACATTTGATACAATATTATTATTTGGTTTTAATACCACTTTCTAACAAATTTTTTTGCTGTCCCTTTCCCTATAGCCCTTAATTAAAGATGTGTAAATATAGGCATTTGGTTTTACATTACATGATTTCATTAAAATTAAAAGTTTGTAAAGAATTTTCCAATTTACCTAAATTAGCCAAGCTCTCTATTCAAAAGATGCCCTAATTGCAAAAAGGACTAATCTCGGAATCTGAACTTTAAAGATAGGATAATGCCAAATGGAACAATACAACTAATGTATTTCCCTGATAGAAGAACAAAAGGAATCGAATTAGTTCTT